TTTTTTCTGTAGGAAATTTATGGCACATTATGGTAACTGCAAAATTATAACATTTAGTCCCTTATATCTCCAAAACTGGCAGAGATAGGTCCATAGTTACTATTGAAGTTGAATAGAATGTCATATACTGACCATTTTTAATTATATTTTTTTGTATATTTTGAGAACTCCTGTTGATTGCATTTTATAGAGCTTGTCAAGCACAAGACTGGTGATGGTGTCCCTTTTTGGAGGGGGGGGTCCATACGAATGCGCTTACTCCAGCTGGTGGTACAATATCCGGAGGCGGTATCGCCTCTCTGATCCTCTAGTTTAAATCCAGGAAACGCCTCAAATTGAATTTGACAATTCCAGCAATCTCTGGTAGTCGTTTTTATGTACAGACACAGATGTTGGCTATTTGCTTGGCAAATATTCTTGAAATTTACAGGAGTGATCAGTCTTACTGAAATACAGATCAAGTTTGAAAATAAAATTGATCAGTTAAGTTTTGGTGAAGTTATTACAAGTGTTTATGTAAAAGATAAACATCAGTATGTTGAAACAGGCCGTAGAAGTCGTTGCTATAGGATGTTGTTCCAGTCATGTGATCAGCCATTATCCTACCACCAATCACATGACCTGCAGAAAAATATTCGACTTCAAGTTTCTGAATTGTTAGGAGTGACATTACAATGAGGTTGCAGATAACATAAAAATATCCTTATACATAGTTATTGAATATTTTATTTTGCAAATTAACAGCATTACACAAGTGCTTTGATATCTATGAAGATGAAAGCTTTGAAAGATTCCTATGATTATGCAAGCTTAACCTTAGATTTTCAGGAGTGAACATTGTGATATGCACCAAAAGGTATCAGCGGTTAAAGAATTGTTTACAGTATCTTCAGCTTAATGTTCCAAATGTATACCGGATCTATTTTACTTTCCAGGGGTAAACTTTATATGCAAGCAGATATAATATTCTTGGTTTGGTCTGCAGTTGTGAAAGCAAATGCAAGTTAATATTAATGTTAACAGTAGCAGTTGCTTGAGTGAAATCTCCCAAGACTTGTTCATGAAGCATTTCAAAATTAATTACAAACTACACATATATTAGGTTTTGTTTTTTCTTTAACACAAAACATTTTTTTACTAAATGTAACTGTTGCCACAAGTTTGTATTATTACTATTATGATAAATATTTTATACATATTAACTTCAAAACAGCAACAACAACAAAAAATAATAAAGATGAAACTGTTGCACAGTGACTTGTACAGTACTTACATAATAACCTGTGTAACTTTAGTGGCGTTAATGGACAAAATAACCCACAATTTTTTAAGTATCAATATCATACTCTAACTTAACAGCAGATTTTATTCAGTTTTTTATCAGAGCTTCCAGTACATGTAGTAAATCACAGCCATCCGACAACCAAAGGATCGGCAGCAAGATCTACTAAAATATTTTGATCTAAATGCATCTTTACTCAGTTTTGGCGGTGTAGTCTCTTTCATATTTGCTTGTGGTCAAGAACAAATTTATAATTTGTTTATTTACATGTACGTTGAAGCATTTGCTGGTTATGTTTTATAAGTCAGAGTGGGGATTAGTGTTTTACCTGATTTTTAAAATAGAAAGCCTGGCTGTATTTACAACCATTACAATGCCAGCAATTTTCAGTAGTTTCGAGCAATCCTCCTCCTCAACATAATTTTGTTCCTCCTCTTCAGCATGTTTCTATTTTTCCTCCTTGGCATGTAACTCAACATGAATGTTAAAATGGGCATAAAACTGGGAATATACTATTTTTTTTATAATTGCAATCTCAACTAAAGTTGCAACCACTGCAATGATACCAATTTCTGGCCAACTCATTGTCTTGGCATTTTTCTGTTTTTCATCTTTAGCATGTTTCTTAACTCATTATGAATGTAAAAATGGGCATAAAACTGGATATTACTATTTTTTTATAATTGCAATCATAAATATGACTAAAGCTGCAACCACTGCAATGCCTTGCCAACTCATTGCATATTTCTGCTTTTCAGCTTCAGCATGTTTCCGTTTTTCCTCCTCAGCATGTTTCCATTTTTCTTCCTCAGCATGTTTCCATTTTTCTTCTTCAGCATGTCTCTGTTTTTCCTCTTCAGCATGTTTCCGTTTTTCTTCCTCAGCATGTTTCCATTTGTCCTCCTCGTCATGTTTCCATTTTTCCTCCTCAGCATATTTCCATTTTTCCTCATCAGCATGTTTCTGTAACTCAACATGATAGAAAATTTGCATGCCAGTTTTTGTACATATACTTTGAACATTGTTAGTCTTAGGATTGTTGTCATCAGTTAATGCTGTTATACTGTTTATGCTAGTGGAATGAGGAAAGTCATGGGCGTGACACTGGGCATACACTAAATGAACAATAGCCATTTTTTCACCATGCTTGTGAATAGAAGTTTCAATTTCACCCTGAAAATCTTTTTGAGTTATAATGTGCTGTCCGCCGATGCTCAATTCACCACTTGAACCATGCCCATTGAAATAGATCCCAATTTTCTTTCTGTCCTTATTTAAATCCAGGAAACTCCTCAATTTGAATAGCAATTCCTCTGGATTTGTGATATGTGCAATTTCTACTGTTTCACTTTGCTTAAGTTCAGGGTGAACCTTAGCAAACTGGATGTATTGGGATTCTCTCATTAACTCTTCAAAGTTATCATGTGGTGAGCTTAACAAAAGGAAAGCACTTGAATTTGACAAATCCAGCAATCTTTGGTAGTCTCTTTTGGCAGTTTCTGCCTGTTCATATGCTTCCTCTTGTCCATACCTTTTTGCATTGGTACTTATTTCTATTAATCCCTCTATATAATCCTCAAAAAACTGTTTCTTCTCTGAATCTCCAACATTTAAGGGCAAAACTTTGTAGTTCTCTTCAACAAATGATTTTTTAATGATTTGCAGTCTGCTTTCTTCCAGTTCATGACACAGCTGTGTGAACTGCTCATCAGTTAAGGATGTTTTGCTGCTTATGTTGTCCATGATATAGATCTCTGTCATTGGAATTGTGACATGTTATTTTCTACAGCAGTATTCCTTGTAAAATTTGACATCGTGGTTTGTCAAGGTCCAAACTGTATCAACAAGTAGTTACAAAATGCATGCTTTAGTCAAGTTTAATACTGGTTTTCTATAATAATCTAATCTAATCTACTTTTTGTACCCATAACAGCATGTCATTCATTGCATTAGTGATGCACATGCAGATAACATGAAGTCATAATCATGCACTGATTGTTATTCATTGGCTAACAGAGACTGTTAGGACCCCTGCTTAAATATATACATGCTTACAACTTTTCTTAATGAAATATTAATACCAGTTTTTATTTAAATCAAACAGATGACCAGTTGTTTGTTATCTAGTGCATGAGAATAACACAAGTACAACACACTGCATTTGAATAGATAGTTTTAATATGCATTTTTTCATTTCAATCACTAAAGAAATCTGGATGATTAACTTCTTTTCAACACAAATCTTTTCCTGGTGTAAAGAGGAGGGTAAGGGGAGGAATGGATACCCATGCTGTAGTTGAAGAGGCACATACAATGGTTATTTTTCTTGGAAGTACCAACTTCCAAAGCTGTAGATAAAGATAAAAGTTATCTTTCTTGGAAGTACCAGCTTTCAAAGCTACTCACCTATTTGATAAACTGTACCTATAATGAGACATAAAACCTGGAGCAAAATGGAAAAAAAACATGTAAATCATTGTTGTATCAACTTTGACAAATTTTGTTCAAATTTATCAGGAGGATACACATTTTGTCTTATGATAATTACACAGCAGTTGATCTTTGCCTTTTAAATGAAGTGGGTCACATGCAAAAAATATCATCACTGAACAAACACACATGATAAACTATATCTTTATTTTTGAAGCTGCAGGTTTTACAAGTCAGTTATCCTAGTCAAAATTCTGTAACACCATATCTACATTCATAGGAGATTTCAGAACATTTCTGGTTAAATCACAGTTGGTTATCAAACACTGTGGATTGGGTTGTGGAGTTTGAAATTAACAGCAGACAAAAATTACACTAACCCTAAATATAAAAGACATGAATCTTTCCCATTTTATCAGAAGTAAAAGTTACACCTCTAGTCATAACCCATTCAAAAACTAATGTATTAAACATTCTCAATGGCTCTACATTTGATGCTCCTTTTAATTTCATGTTGGTAACTTCTGTAGACACTATTATAATACATTCTCAGGATGAGTCAAAAACTAGATTTCTGATAAGACTTTTCATAAAACATGAAATATTACAAAAAATTTAGCATAAGAGAAAGTAAGGCACCTTTGAATCATTCCAAAAATCAAAACAATTTTAATTCTTTTTTTATGAATATTATGGTACCAATCACTGGAACCAATGGCCTAAAATTTTACAACTAAAGAAATCTGCACGCTGTGTGAACTAAAGCCGTCAAGTAACAGAAATCTTACAGTTAGTTTCCAATGAGATAGTGACCATCAAGAGTAAATCTTGCAGGAGATTTGACAGAGACTCTTCGACTGAAAGCAAATTGATCAAGGTACTTTTTGCCTGCTAGAAATAATAAACATACGAGTCTGTTGAGGAAACAACTACAGGAGTCCAATTGTTCACAAGGGCCTTAGTGGTCTACATCTCCAACTATAAAAAAATTCCCTCTCTTGATTTCAAATCCAACTTTTTAACAAATATTTGCAGCATTCACACAGAAAAGATAAAACTGAAGTATTCATTAGCATGAACATATTTAAGAGTTTCTCTTTATGTGATTGCTTATATATTAACTGCCATCAATAAGACTTTAACTGTGTCTTTTAGTTGATGACATCAAATCTCTCAATTTCAAATATTCTTGATCATTTGAAATGTTTTTGAACATCTAGTATTTTAACATACAGGAGGTCAATGACTTCTTGTGATGTCTAGCAGCGATCTGCTCTTCAGTTTTTTAAATATACGATTGATCTGTACATAATAGAAAACAACCTTTTGCTTCACTAATAGACAACAGCAGGATTATTTCTAAAATTGGAAGAAACTGAAAATTTGTGGAGTTGCAGTTTGTTCATTTCAACTAAATCAGAATGCAGCAAAAGCTTTCTTCTATGAATGAATGAACATATGAATGAAGGTCTAAGTAATTAAAATAATAATAATAAATTGATACTTGTCATACAAAATAATCTCAAAGAATGTTGTCATACTTTAATGTCACTAAGAAGTGATTTGTCTAAAAGAATACACAATAAAATCAACCAAGGCCAAGCAAATAGCTATCACACTGTAAAAACTGCCATCAGTGGCCAACAGTGGCATCTATAATAAATGATATTACCCTTGCAATAATAAAATAAATCAACAAAGCACAACCATTACAATAAAGAGTGAGCAATAATACAAATACAGTGCAATTAAGTGACAGATTAAAGTGTACAAGAACTGATACTGCAATTGTCTAATAAACAGTGCATTTTACAACTTGTATAAAAATGATGACTTTTTGGCACTTTGCCAAGGTTTGCACCATATTAAAGCAGATCTATCACCATGTTGAACAACAGTGCTCATTCTGAGATTTCTCTCGCATTTCTTCGCCTTTCATTTCAAGGCTTATACATAGCAATTTCTCCCCTTTCTTTGTCTTGGGATTTTTCACTTGGCAATATAATAATGAATATGTACACGTGCATCAAATGGACTGTCTCTCCCTCCAACAGAATGCTTCTCTATCACATTCTCCAGATTGTGCTTCCCTACCACAATCCAAAGTTGATCAAAACTCTTCGATCATATATTCAAGCACAGCAGAACACAGTCTTGTAATCTACTTGAAACCCAAAGAATGGCCAAACTTTCAAAAGTTCTTTCAGGAAGTTTGTGTTGCCATACACAATGTCTATGACAAGATCTGTGCCTGGAATATCACTTCCCTTGCTTTTAGCACTGCAATTCTACAATGCATGACTTAAACAGTTCTGTCCATCACCACACTTTGCTACATGTATGTAGGCTGTTGATATCTATACTCATTCCACTCTTTGATCCTTCGAGCCAGACAGCAAGCAAATATAATACCAAAGACCTGGAACATAATGAAAATTACTAATGGAATAAGAACACATTAAAACGTAATCATGATTATTTGAATTACAATTTAATTGTTACATGTTTCGTTACCTGCACTGCATGCTAATAGCAGTGTAGAACATCCCTCATTCTTTCTTTGAGAGCTTGTTATATATATACCTCAGTTCCCTCTTACCTGTACAAAACACATCCCCAGTCCTACAGCACCAATGATTATAATGTGTCCTTTCAGGTACCTTGCTAGCTTGGTAAGACACCCCTGAAATATTGATATCAACCTTAATAGGGGATGGTTAATCCCTGATTTCATCTTTACAGCTGTGCTTTCTAGAGACTATCCGGATTCCAATTCTCAAAGTTCATTCAAATATAGAACCTTATTCTTTCCTTGGCATGAAATTTGATGATATGATGAGTGAACAATAGTACCTGTCTAGTGTCATCGGAAAAATACTTCACAATTTAATTGTCCGCAGCTAAAGAAGTTGATCAATCAAGCTCAAATCCATGTTATTGAATACAATATCAGCAGCCTACTTACATCATAATAAATATTGGAGGGGTGGTTTCTGACTGCGCACCCTGTGCTGGTGCTCTTACAGCAGCTGTCTGGTGCTGTGTTATTGGTAGGGACACTGCGCAACCACTTGCTGTACCGCCAGTCTTCAAAAGAGCCTGTACCACAACACTTGTGCTACAAATCAAATACGTACAGTATTATTGTATCAAAATAAGAAAAAATTGCTTTGGTTAATAAAAAATTTACTGGAATTATTTTATACATTAGTTTCAATTTGTGTTTAACTTGGTACAAAAATGCATTGTGTTCTTAAGTACTTGTATCTATGAAAAGGCTTCTAATATTTTTAATGGATTTAAGAGTTAAATAAATTATTATACATAAATAATTTCTATTTTATTTATTAGTTAGGTATGAGGTTTTTTATAATAATTACTTTATCACATTAGCTTTTTCCTATTTTATCTGTTCATTAATTTATATTTGTTAGTTGAGTGTGTTTGGTGTACTCTTTATTCATTTTTGATCTATGTTTAAATTGAATGTGTTAGGTGTTCTACATACCCATTGTTGTAAGTCATCTGTAGCATTAGTTATGGCCATATCAAACTGATAGCTTTCCATCATTGTCTTGTTCAGACTACGTTGAAGTTCTTGTTCAATCTGGAACATAAAAAAAACATTCTATTTGATCTGAACAAAAACACATTTCATTTTAAATTATATGTCGTTCATTGTTCAAATCCTTACACGTGGCATGTGTGATGCTTTACATGATGTTATTCAAGTCTCTTTCAGAAGCTGAGAAGAACTTATTTTGCAAAAAATTCTCCAGCTAAAAACTACTTGTTTTGGAGACAGCTTCATATATACTACTATGAACTAATTGCAATTGTGTAAACAAGATTAGTAAATCAGATACTCACAGCTGCCTGGTATGTATAAGCTAACACTCCTGTTATAGCTTCCATTAAGAATATAAGCACCAAGAAAAAAGCATACTGAAATAGAAAGGATATTTATATGTTCATTAACACACAACAAAGGAACACTTCACAATCTGCATTTAGAATTATCTAAAATGAGATATCTAGGCATTGACATCCCTGATCATTCTTGTCTAGCCCAGCAATCATCTGTATTCCTCCAAAAACTGCCTATAAATCTAAAATTCTTAAATCTAAATAAGTAATTCCCATTCAAGTTGAAGACATATCAACCAGTAAAATTCAAAAGTAAAAACTCTCCAAGCGTCAATCAAGAGGATAAATTTCCACTTACTGTCATCAGACAACACCTGTTCTCCCATATAGCCCCATAGCATCCTATAAAGCCCATGATGACAGCTATTCCTCCTGTGACAATGAGGATGTAAGTGGTGACGGGATAGATGCTGGTGGCCAGGAGGCTCACATAGTGGTGTCTGGCCAGCACTGTCCATATTCCTACTGCCAAGATGGCAGCACCAGACAACTGGAAAACAAAATGTTGAGTAATTAAAATAATGGTGTCTACCCAAGACTACTTAATTCTACAGCCAAGATGACAGCACCAGACAACTGCAAAATAAAAAGTTAAATCACTGAAATATTTCTGCCTGCCCAAGACTCCCCATACTCCAACATTCGATATAAAAGCATGTGAGACATCATGCTTATTGAAATCCATTCTAGGGCAATAAGACACACAAAAAAAGGTATAAGACACATCCTAGTTTTCACTTTAAATAGCTTTCTATCTCCAAAGACATTTTTTCCTTTAAAAATTTTGAAGTCCTGAGATCCCTAGATTTATCATGTGAAAATCTCTACCCTACAGACAGGTTTTAATTTGAACCACACAGTTGCTATAACTAGCCTGTGATATGACTGCATATAAGATTTAAAAGAAAAGAAATCAGTAAATCTGTCAAAATGCCTGGTATAATCAATGCTCTCTCCATATCAGCCTGCACCCTGTGGGTACACTAGCACCACCTCCTCCAGTCTAAACAAGGGCACAACATCTGATGTTTTTGTCAAACCCAATCAACCATGGATAAAAAAAAAGAGGAGTGAACACATCTCCCCCAGGAGGTCACATTCTGTTCACCTCCTTAGGTAACCCCTGTCTGGGATTTCGCTCATTATCCTAATGGGAATCAAAATATTTTCCTTCTTTTTTTTTTCTTGTGTTCATAATTTAAACCATATGTGAGTGTATAATGATGAATTTTTTTTCATATCACTGCACTGAGCATGGTTGATTTCCACAAGAAAAAAATCAATATATTGTTCATCTGCAGTGGCAATTACAACACCTTTCCTCTAAGTGCATCTGATAAAAGGCCGTGGCAGCTGCCAATACTGCCTTGAATGCTACTTTCAAATTGGTTCTATTGCAGATATAAATTTCTTCCCAATTCCAATACAGCAGAGCTAAATAAGTAACTGACACATTTCCTGGAAAATAATTATGATTTGTATGCTATCATTTCCTGTGTGTGCTTAACTCAGATGGATCTCATCTAGGTATCCTGCACAATACACTATTCCTGAAGCTTATCATCTTTCACAAATTTGTTTTCTTTAGTTTTCAATTTTTCATCATACTAAGACAATTTATTTATTCAAGGAAACTGACTAATCTGTTTATTGAAGCCAATAAACCTGTAAGAGTAAAAACAAGACCTAAAACCTTTCGTGTTGGGTGTTATTTTCAGCTATAAAGCAACTGTTTGATTTCTCAGCACCCAATCACTCCCCGACAAGGTATTAGAAGTTATATCAGCCAAGAAACAAACTTGGCGTGAACTCTTTGACTCCTTACACTGCTTTGTGCAATATGGATTTTTACAGCCAGATCAAATTCTGTGGCATATAATAGGGAGCAGTGGGAGACAGATAGTTTGGAGTATTTTGATATGTAACCCAATTTATATTGGCTGAATTGCCAGTAAATGTGTAAACCATATATCTCATGATTTACCTACATCCTTAAAGGTATGAACTCACCTTGAAGTTGTTTTAGAAACTCCAGGTAGAAATTCCCTTCATCTCAAGGAGAGATGTGTGATGGCATTATATACTAACTTTGTGTCACTTTTTTTCCATTGACTGGTTTGTTTAGTGATTTGTCAAGTTTAAGTTAATTATTGGTTTTAATATAAATTTCATGTTGCCCAAATTTTATCTCTCAGCATGGATTGCGTGGGTTTGTTTGTAGGAGCAATATACTGATACCAGCACAGCAAGGGGCTCTTTTGACATTATCACCTGCATAAAAAAAATACCATTTCTGTTTTATTTCATTATTTATGCTAAAACAGCAGACACAGCTGGAATGCAGCCACTTACAGAGAATTAAGAGATAGAAACGAGCATGCCATTTAATACTGAAAATAATCCCACACAGCAGAAAACAAGTTCAACCAAGCAACATAAACTTTAAAAGTGTGCACTTATCCATATTTGTTTGGATGCATAAACCCAAAGTCCTGATGAAAGCCACAAACTACAGGTGTATTCAAAAAAGAAAAAAGATATAAGCTAGCTTTTTATAAAATATCTTTTGAGAATGAAGCTGTAAAAACTTTTCATACAAGGAAGGGCAGGAGACAGTGAAAAAAAGACATGTCTGGTGAGGCTCCCAGTTCAGCTGTAGAGACCCTTGATAAGATAATTGGAATTAATTTACCATATGGCACTACCTTCTCAAATACCTGACACTGATGCAGAAAACACACCACTGGTATGGCTGTCTTTAATGAGGGCGTACTACTAGGATGTATTTGTGCACGATCACATACCTAAGCAATTTATCTCTGATGCAATTAAGTTACTGAAACTGTAACACAAATCAAATAAATGGCTTCCATCTTTTTTTTTTCCTGTTGTGGCAAGTACTGTGGGATTATGTTTCTGAACTGAGCCCCAAGCTATGGATTCTAGTTTGACTCAATTGTGAAAGATGTGCTCAGAAAACTAACAAAACAACAAAGCTGAACATTTTTTCTCCGCATACAATTTGTTAAAACAACCAAAGAGACCATGGCACACAGCAAACTTTTGTTGCCAAGCAATTTTGCCAAACTTGTGTTTGGATATCATCCAAGAAACTCGATCTGCAACATCGTCCTTTAGACTTGTCTGTGTTCTATCATCTCAAAGATCCAACATCACATGTACTTCATCTGTAATGAGCCTGTATCAGACTTTTTTTTTTATGAAATGGGTGTGCACACAAGCTTACAAGTCTTTATGTATGGAAAGAAAACCTATGTTTTTTTTACAATTCAAGGGTTCTGCAGATAATTTTATCTCATCCTCTAAAGACTTCCTCCGTAACCTTTATCATCATCACACCAATCAAGGCCATCGTTAAAGCTTCAGGGTTTTTGTTGAAATATAAATGGAGAAAAGCAATACAGAAAATAGACAGAAGAAAAAAGCTGGCAAAATTCATTTGTATAGTTCCACCATATTAAATTAAAAGGACATAAAACAGACATACACAGCTCTGAAATTCTACTAAAACTCTACCTTCAATTTTCAACATTTTCCATTAAAATCCGTTTAACACATCTCACGTGAAATGGCTGCAGTTCCCTGTGAAACCCATTTCATGTTTCTTTTGGTATCTTAACCCCTGCTGCCGGGGCAAAAGTTCATGACTCAAACACCTCAATATTTGGTTCAAAGCAGCTGAGGGTAAGAAAAAAACACAATTCTCCACTGTAGCAGCACAACATCAACCACCGTTCACAGAGGATTTGGTAAATATTTTCCACATGGTTCAGAATCTGCTTTCACTCTCATCACTCGACACCCAAGCTTGGCATAAGATACCTGTTATCATATCCAGGAACAAATTCCCACACCCTCTTTCTCATTTTTTCAATGAAAATGTGTAAACCAGAGAAGAACTTTGGTTAATGCATACTAATGAACCCATTTACTATGACTGAATTCACCCTGTGTATCAAAAATTTTATCAATTAAATGGAATAAATGTGATCAATATTGGCAACAGAAAACTTCAGCACAGCCACAGGCAAGTAGTGACAAATCTTTCTGGTTTCTAATAAAAAAAAAAAAAAACACACACAGTCAGGCTCTCCCACCCCTCCAGCTCTGCAACCTATGATAGAATGTACAGTGCCCGTATCAAAAAACACCAAGGCATCAGACTGTGGTATTAAATCTCCTGACCTCTGCCCCCCTGTGACACTAAGAGCCACTGGAGAAGTGTTAACCATTATCATCTCATCACTCATGTAAGACATGTATTGTATTTAAATGGATGGCCTGTAGTAATAAAAGTATCACAAAACGATTGCAGATACTGGAGATGCATTTCCAGTCAAGAGATTATGGCAAAACTCAGTAGGTGCTATTCCTTAAACCCCAATCCCTTACACACCATCGGACTAAACTCTGTGGGGATTCATGCTAAGTGCAATCAGTGAAATCAGCTTAATTGTCTGACATGCCTCCTCAAGCATATTGGGGATAACTAAGCTGAGTGCACACAAAGTTGATTTCATCCTACCTGTTTAAGGAAGATGGCATTCAGTTAAGCTGATAGCTTTTAGAGAGAGCCCCCACAGAGTAGGACCGACCCATGTAGACTCATGTGTCTATGGGAATGCCCCTTCGTGTGTGATATTTCAGAATTTCTATCAATACAGTCAATCTGATCTGTGAGACTACACACAACAATTGCAACTGAGGAACATTGTAAGTGACATGGCATCATCTTGGATTCTAATGGTTACAAATCATACAATAGCTATAAGGGTAAGGGTTATTTCAAAATAACAGAATTAAGCTTTCCCAACTTGACTGCAAATGCGGCCCAAGGTTCCAACAAACAACACAATGAACAATGTGTTGTATTCTGCCGACGTGATACAAAAAAAAATAAATACATTGATCATAAAGTGTTTTTTATATAAGATATATTGGATCAATAACATTACTCTATTTAATCATAGAAAATTACATCAGAAACAAGGTTGTATAAAGAAATCAATTTTTTTCAGCTTAAAGCGTTCATAAATGTATCAAAATGAAAGTAGCATAATGGGAATCTGAGCTTCAGTTTTACTTCTTTTAAATGAAATTGTAATTTATATCTTTAATACTTACCCAAAATATAATATTAAAAGTGCAGAGGGCATATTTTAAAAAGAAAAGTCCACAGCAGCCCTCGTCAAACTTCTTCTTACTTCTTTGGTCTCGTAGGTTACTCATGTTGGCAGACGACAGCTGTGGTGATGTGGTGGGAAGGATGGGAACTTTTCAACTACAGCACCTAAAATACAAACAAGAAACTGCTGAAATACTAACTTGGGCACTTGGATTTCAACCAGATACTTGACACAAATATGGAATTGGTTCTGGCGTTGTCCAGAGCTGACAACAATAAAAAGTCTTTTTCTGAAAAAAAAAAAAAAAAATACATAAAAAACTATAGATCTATTCAAGTGAAAGTGAACAAAGGATCAGGGGTCCTTCAGCAGTATCATACAGCACGTCCTTTTTTCTTCCAGCAAGTAAAAAAAGAACTAATTCAAAATGCACAATTTTTGAAAGATGCAATATTCCATCAGATAACTGAACCAAGTGCTGAAAATACCAGTGCACAACCCACTCAGCTAGAAAATTCTAGTCAGCTGCCACAAACATTTGGACTATTACAAAGACAGCTCCACTTTCTCTATTAAGGCCTGACAGACTTCATTTTTGTTCCAAGCCTACTTCAAACAACCTTCTTTAAAAAAAAACCCTTAGCCAAAAATTGCAGGATTTCAAATGTGATCATTCTGAGCTATGTACATACATATCCTCAGACCAGATCCCCATAGTACAGGTCCCAACACAGCCAGACTGCTTCAACTGTTCAGGAACAGGTCACATTTTACAGTGACTGTTTAAGTGGAGTGTCCAGGGTTCCAAATGTTTGCCAAAATCTTGTGAACCAATTAGGTCTGCCTGTACACAGCTTACCAGTCCACAGGCAATCCTATCCAACACTGAGAAATGAACAAGGTAGGCCCCAATTTCAAATTTCCAACAGCAGGCCACATTTCTTTATGTATGTATATAAATACAAACTTATATATACACACACTTGCAAGCTGTTTAAAATGAGAGTGGTCCTGGGAGAAATTGAACCAGGCAAGTATTTTAATAAAAACCCTAAGGATGAAACAGCAATAATGGCTCTAAATTTTCCTAATAAATGTCGGTCAGATTTATCCCCAAGCACCGTGAAAGATAGTCTCTTGGTGTACAGTTATTAAATCTGATATGCACTTTTAAGGAGATAAAAATAACCTGGTGTATTTTTACTCTCTTGTAATGGCTAAAATCTATGTTAGGCCCCAGACATGCATTCCAAAGAAGGCAAATCTTACCCACTGTTAAACCTATTCCTTGCCAATGCTTAAGATGGGTGTAGAGATAAAAAGGATTCCAAATGTTCACAAAAAGGTGCTAATAGCCTCTTCTAACTGAATCTCCAAATGCCATGAAGATTTCATTTCCAGAACTGATAATGTCATGGTTTTAGAGGATTTTTCTTGGTATGCATGGCTAAGAACTTATTCAATTCTGGTATACCCTACTGTTCCTCTTTCTTTTCCAAAAATACAATTCTCAAGAAAGATACTTCTCTTTCTCCCCTTCAGCACCACCTGTACCAACTGTATGATCTGATATTACATTTTCTTATTTTCACATTACTCACTAACACATTGCTTACTTTTGCTTACTGTCTTATTTACCTCAATACATGCCCACACATAATAAAACCAATATCTAATTGAAAACCAGTTACAAAGAGACTGCAACCAAGACTAGGCTTCATAAAAAAGTGCAATCCCATTTTCAGTTCAGATATATGTGCACAATTAAAAGCTCATGTAGTAAATTCTTGAGGGTCACGAAAACAGTCACAACTACCATCTTCACTGTTATAAACACATTTTAAAGACTATGACAACAAGAGACTGACAGAAAACCTTACTGTCTTAAATTCTACTTACTTTCTAAAAGGCAAGTTTCATACTTTCCAATTATGTAAGTACAAGTGCTTGATCAAAAAATACATTTATACACTTATAATATTACATTACAAAAAGAATACACAAAATACTATTTTCAGCAAACTGTATGTCAATCATGTGAAGGAAAAAGCTGTCTTAAAAACACATTTTAGAGTTTGTAACTCTGTTGTGAACCCCAAGTTCATCCATCAACTATATTTTTTCTGAGAAATGAATGATTGATTTTTTTCATCAAGAAATATTGTTGGTTTTTACACATTTTCACACCTCATGCATATTAACACATACATCTTAACACCAACTATAAATGCTGTAGCCATTAGCATGTGTATATGATGTCTGTGTACTCATTTCCCTGTCTCCAAACAAAATGTCATGCTGATGACAAATTGCATGGAATATTAACATGACCGTATATGTACTAGTATGTACCCATACTTTGGAAATCAGTATAATGTACTCCAATAGAAGAATCAGAAATTCTATACCCTGCTGTCAAAACATTGGATACTATCCCCAAGAGGTCATCCTAGAAAAGAATAATCAAATTAAGACAATGAACCACAACTCCCCATAGGTCTGCTGCACTTAAAATGAGCACTTTCATAAATAGCAAGTTAAGGGAATTTCAGATATATCAGAACGGTGTGAATATAAGTGGTCCCCATCGTGATTCGACTTTCTGACGTAAACAAAAAAAAAAAAAAAAAAAAAAAACTTGACAAATCACTTTCATCCAAGGAAACCTTAGAGTTGACACAAAGGACTGAAAGTAAAGAAATGTAAATAACATTTTTTGGGGGGATGGGGGTGGGGGGGTGCAGGGAGGTTTACAAACGGAGCGAAAAGAGAAAATCTGGTCTCAAGGCAAGCCTAAATAGCATTAAAACTTTAAGAAAACATATATCACATAAAAGTCCACAAATAATTCACCTCCCCCCCAAAAAATAATAATTTGAAGGATAACAGTCTTTATTTACAGAAAAAAATAGTATCAATCTATGAAAGACAAATTTTGTTTGGAAAATAATTATAGTACCTTTTAGTCACCTGCTCCTCATAATGACTTGGTAATTTACTCCCACTGTTAAAACAATGTCCTGGTAGTCTTTAAATCAGTCTGTATCTGAAAATAATAAGATCAGTGATATTAATATTCCCAATTCTTTAAATAACAAGTAATAATCTGCACTAGTTTTTGGAGACACAGTGATATTGTATCAGTTAAGTCACTCAGAAGAGACATAGAGTGTATTCAGATCAGCGGACTGACACATCAGCAGATCAAATATGGCGACCCACTAAAAAGTTTGCTGCTTAATTTTCGATTAGACACTAAATAGATTCTCTGTGAGGATTACTCAACAAGGATTCAAGTGGGTCGGCCATATTTGATCCGCGGATCTGTCAGTCTGCTGTTCTGAATGTGCTCATAGACCGAAATCATCCCAGATGTATGTGTGTATATATATATATATATATATATATATATATATATATATATATATATATATAGGTACATGCTTTAAGTGCAGTATCTACTTAGAACAGTTAAATATCATTTTCCGTGTTAGTCGCACATTATAACACTCAGGTGAATTAAATGCAAATTTAGTGTCTTTATTTTATGTCAGCAGTATAAACAAACTGATGCCACTGTATCAACAGTCATTATACACACCAAGGTGTGTTTATACACAGATTGGGTTGATTCTTCTCCGACAGATAGCTAAGGTAATTTAAGGTAATTTATAAAAGTTCTCTTGCCCACCACTTTCTGGCACCAAAGTCTCCATGAAAATGTTTCAATGAAAATGGTGAGTGTAGCTTAATCAAACACCCCGCAAAGAACTTATATGGAGGAAGGATCAACCCAACTTATACGTAAATTTATGCTCTTTACAAGTGAAACACTACCCCTTAAACCAATCATCATTGGTCCTCACTAGATGGACATCTGTCCAAACTTTAAATACCCTGGCCTCAATGTAACTTTACCTTACCTAGCTATCACTATACCTTCAACAGGGAATGAAAAATCAGATATCCCAAACTTCAATGTATTTCAAATTAAGAACAAACAGTCTGGGAAAAAGTAAACATGGCACATTTCAACATTCAAACACTGAATGTCAATACTATCTTGATGGTCATGGTTGCAGAATAATTCTGTAATTTAGCAACTCGTAGTGTGAACCATTAAGACTGTTATCTGCCACTATGGACCAGGTTCTGTTGATATAGCAGCTCACACAATGTTATGTGACATTATTTATAAATCAACTTTGCAGACTTAAAACATCAAGACTAGTACGCGTCTCACTACTGCGCTGAATCTCTATGGGGATTTTAACATTTGCCATCAATCCAAACCTTTAAACCACTTACATTTATGTAAGCTCTCAAACATTTTCTGTTAAATCCAATTCCATAATTAAATTAGTTTAGTTCAATAAAAATAGCTGGTAGTCTTTAACAGTCAGATTATTTCAGAAAAGGAAATCAAATACTCTTTTTATGTATTTAAATAAAATCATTATAGAAAATTGTGTATTTGGTTATATGGCTAAACAAGCAACATTTCGATCAGTACTTCAAAGCCAAAGAACTACATAGAGCATAAAAGAGAGACAATACGACACTACATGAACCAATGCAACTAAATGTAACATGTACCACATGCAGATAATCTGACAACCTACCCAGGGAGCACATGTACCTGATCGTCACTCACGTATCAAATGCCAAGAAAAAAAAAAGGTTCCTGAAAGGATTAGAATACAATTCATTTTCAATTACCTTCCTCTTTTCTAGGCAAAAACAAAGCCCCCTAACAATACCGTGTGTCTGTAACCAGCAATGTTCCAGGAACTATCTGCAGTATAAAAGTAGCTGCAGGCATCTGGTACAACACATCCAAGGCTGCTCAGCGGGACATGGGGGAGAACAATCAGACTCAAAGTGCATGCCACCACACCTACAGTGCTGCCATAGACTACACACAGATGACAAACAGCTCATAAGGCTGGGAAAGATCTGATACTGCCTCTCAACCATGTAATGATACAACCTCCCAATTACAATAGCAATTGATGTTCTACATACAGAGACAAGGCAAAATGCCAAAAACCCTGCTTTTAAAGGTTAAAGATAGGTATCCTCCTGTGATATCTAATTGATTTTTTTTTCAAACGGCAGAGACACAATGGAAGTTTGTGCAATAAATTTGGAGAGATATCACACAGATTTTTGCATGCCATGTTCATTCACATCACAAAATCAATGTGGAATCAGAAGTGCGTGTGTACTGATCACAATTTATCTCCAGTGACTGCTTAACACATGATTGTGAAGTATATTTAAAGCAACATAAAGACAATTCCTTTCAAGGGCCATTTTCAGTCAACTTTTTTTTTAAATGTTACAGATCTTATTTCAGGAAGTAGAAAACTTAATTGACAGCAACCCCTCATGCCCCTGTGCAACTCCCTCAATCACCTATGGATGTTCTTTCAATCAAGTTGTAATGTCTCAATCTATTATGTGCTTTATATCAGTCTAGCACACGTGAAACTATTTAATAGGTTCTAGTATCAGTATACCATAGTACTATAGAGCATGCAATTCTTTTCTTACAATAGGAAAGCAATCTAACAAACAACATAAGCTATATAATGTACCTACCTAAATATTAATGGCAGTAGGCAGGACAACACAGCACAGTCTGGACCAGATTTCTACTTTTTGACAGCACCATTTAAGAAAATTAAGAATACCAAATATCATCCTACAATGCCCCAGGAGAGTTTAGATGACAGCTTATTAAGATACAGTGACAAATTACTCCTGCACTACACAATGGAATGAAGCAGTATTATTCAACTCAAGAGCTGATTTGCAAGTATAGTACTTCTTGCTGTAGGCAGAATCTGTTTAACCTAATGTTGCACACTTGGCACTGAAAGCAAAAAAATTCCCCCTTGGCCCCAGCAATTAGGACTAATTATTTCTTTGTGACTTCTAGGAACTCTATTTTTAATCGTTTTTAATTAGGGTGGGGGCTGAAGGGTTCATTATAAAATTATTAGACGAAGGAGCTCTAAGATCGGCTGATTTTGGTGTATCCTATGAGCAATGGCATGTGGAAAGCTTAAAAAACTGGTCGATGTAATTTAGAGATCTTGGCAGGTACAAGTGTTTACATTATTGATCATATTGCATGGTGTGAAGTTAAATATACTGTTGAAAAAACATTTTTATAAGGAGCAAAATGTTTTCATACAAGATAAAAGAGGCACATTCTTTATTTGTAATTTTTAGAAATCTAAAGAAATAATTATATTAATCAATGTTTTTTCATCATCTCACATTTAAAACAACAAGTACAATTTGATAATAAAAGAGTTACACCTTAATACATCATGTCTAGATGTACTACACTCCATCTTGGCTATATCAAGAACAAAATATACCTTGTACAGTGTGGTTATTAGATTTCCGAGTAGACATATCATCCACGTTCATGTGAAGATTTCTATGATTAAACTACACATTTACACAGTCATCACTGATAAGAACAATCCTGTAAGGACATAATGATTATAACAGCTATGAACAACTGAGATAACACGAGAGCTCAGCCATGAAAAGTAATCACGTAAGAACAAGTTGTAGAAAAGATAAGATATGAATCAAGATGCAGACACAGGCATGTACGAGTATGTACCTGCTTGGTCCCCAGATTTAGCATTATAAAATATAGAATGAAGAAATCAGAACAAAGGGTCATATAAAAATACCCTTATAAAATTATTTTTAAGTAAATATCTCAACAGAACAGGCAGCAGGCTTAGAGGGCTACCTGATCATGTCTGCCCAGCCAGTGTGGACACTTGTTCTTTGTCACCTAAGTCTGTCTACATTGTACATACCTGTGAGCTGTCTACTTGTGTGTTCTGTTGTCTGACCTGGAAGTCTTTTACTTACTGACCCACCAGTGCATTGATCTACCACACAAACCCTCCCCGTCTGCTGCTATGTCTCTACACACCTGTAGGGTGGGAGGAATCTAAACACCGAGATGTCTAATCAATAAATGAGAAAACTTTTCCTATTTTTTCCCCATGCCTATCACTTTATCAAAAACCAGACTTTGTGTATCATATAAAACCTTGATACTGCATTCAAAAGGAAATATGCATAAGCTTTCAAAACCATATATTTCCCAGTGCAAATAAAAAATGAATCCATGCATGCTTATTGTTCGACTCCTGTAACTTTTTAATTTCAGGGCCGGCTGTTGAGGCTGTGGTTAGAACTATACATGCTTCAGGCCACAGCTCTTCACTTAAGGCCCCAGAACGGGACAGTGTACTCAAAGGTACTATATGGGAGGTAGTTTGCTGTTCCAACAAAGGCTTATTTTCTATACTATTCATTGTGTTATTGCAGTATAAGGTAGCTTTGTGATTGAATCAAACTACAACACAGGTCTGTTGGATTTACTTTCAAATATTTCACCTTCATTGGAAAAGCATCTTTCGAAAAGGAGAGGTGCATGAACAATATGGTTCAGCTGGCCCTTACATCGCCACTGACCCAAGGAAAGTTGATATATCCATAAGAAGGCACACAGTTCCTGATCAATTTACTGCATAGGTAAATCCAGGGCTTAATTCCTTACAACATAATTGGAAGTTTATACAGTATAACCAAATAAGAAATATGGTTATGCAATATCTACATGACTGTCTCGCTGGATGTATACCCCTGTGCTACAAGATAAACCTTCTTTCATCTTTGCTAACATATATTATTCAAACAATAACTTGCCAAATATTAGTTTTGCAATAATGTCTCAGGAGGAACTTAGATAAATGTTATTGACTGGCTCATATATCTAATGAAAACTTTATTTGGTCCTTGGCTTAATCCAATGTGCAAATCTTCTCACCTGAGAGAAACAAAGCATGAGCTGTATAAACAATTCAATAAAAGGTAGGTAGTTCAATCCTTCCATCTTGTGGAACTAGTTCAGAAAGGCATATAGTAAAGAAAGAGTACAGTTACTGAACAAAGAACACTAAGACTTGTTTCTTTGCTTTCCATTTAACAAAAGATATAAGAAATAAAATATACATATATCTCAGATGCTGCTAGCTTTATATATATATATATATATATATATATATATATATATATATATATATATATATACACCAAAGGACAGGTCTACTTACAAGTACAGAATAGTAACCTTCACTTTTGTGATGCAGACACCATTTAACTATTCCCAGATAGTACTTCTTTCTAGTCTTTTTTATCTTTCTTTCACACACACACTATCACAGGTGCAGACATGACTGATCTTAGGATACCTGCCCAATGAATCATCCTGACTGAAGGTAGCTGCTACCACATGTACACTACACCCCATCATCAACCATTAGTATGGGCGGCATTAGTGTTCCTCTGTGGGAAACCTAATCTTCTACAAATGACATGATTTGTGCATGATCATAGGCCCTATCAACTTAATTTGATTTTCACTGACCACATTTTATATGACTCCATTAATAGAGATGGATATTATTGACCATAATATGGGAAAGAGTTCGAAATTTTTCCAGCACGGATTTTGATCACTGGCAAAATGTGGAGTATTCCTTGGCTGATTTCAAGTCTCCTATACACCAACACATGATTTAGTGACTTTTAATAGGCAAAAGTACCAGCCCTTAGGGAATAACTTTATCTGGCACAATGTCTGCTTTATATGGAAGTGTGTAAGGGCCACAACACCAACACCAAAAACAAAACTCACAACAGCAACACCAAAACTCACAACACCAACACCAAAAACAAAACTCACAACAGCAACACAAAACTCACAACACCAACACCAAAAACAAAACTCACAACAGCAACACAAAACTCACAACACCAACACCAAAAACAAAAGCCACAACACCAACACCAAACAAAGAGCGCTTTAAAGAAACCTGAGTATCATGTATACCTCATCATGCCTGCACTAGATGACCACTCAAACTTGACCCACTTCAGTAGTCATTAAAGAATAATCAATCAATTGTCAAATTTACAAATTAAAGAGGAGAGGCATTTCCAACCCTCCAAGAGAAAATCCGTCTATTTTCAATTTGCAACAGACCATCAAAGTGAATCTCTACAAGCGACAGATAGACAACAATTCCAAGCAACCAAGGTAAGCATATTTTCTTTTCTAGTTTGGTTTAAGAGGTATATTTTTTATCAAAAAGATTGAAAATCGGTCAAGTCTTTGTTCTGAGAATGCCACATGGTTTGAACTGTCCTTGTTATAATTAACAATGCTATGGAAAATTTCTATGTTATTTCTTTTTTCAAAAATGTACAAAGTTATTAACTAAAAATAGTTATGTGTTACATTAGTAATTATTTGGCATAGCATTGTCTAAAATCATGAGAAATTGGTTTAGTATAACTAAAGTAATGTCTTGCTGCACTGAATTTTTATTTGAATTATTGTTAGCAGTATCAAATGTTTGTTTGCTGTTTATTATATTTATTCTAGAGGACAGACCTTGAGATTACATGGTTAAGAGCATAAGGGGCAAAGCTGCAAGTGTTAGAATGCATATACTAATTAAACTATATATGATACATTGTATTTATAGTCAAATCTTTTATGTCACATTAGCAATATTGGGATTTTTATTTCCTAGTGTCATGCTCAGGAATATGAATGAAAGAATGATTCAGTTTAATTTGGAAGTCTTAAATTGGGCATGCAGTGTCAAATTACAAGTTCAGTGTTACTATTTACTATGAAATGCTAGTTCATAAAGAACAGATGTGCACAGAGTGTATAAATTGTCACATACGATATTGGTCAGTCTGAGAACAATAAGAACACTAGTGGCTAGCTATAGTTTTTAAACATAATGAAAACAAATCAAAATATAAGAAAAAATAATTATTGTTATTATTTTAATTTTTGGATTTATTTTACTATTGCAATTTCACAGTATTGTGAAATCCTTGCAGAGGTTGACATTATGTACTTGCTGTATGCTCTTGATCTCTTTTTCATTTTTATATACGTACTGTTCATTATGAAATTTTTCGGGGGTATTTTTTATTTCATATGAAGAGCAATTATTTCCTTTGATGTATTATTTACTATTTCATTTCAGCAAATGTATTGCCCTTATTGTGGGAAAAAATTGCCCCAGGGATATGAGAAATTCCGTTGCTGCACATTCTGTGGAGAATTACTCCCAGATTGGAGTAGCAGACAACATGACAGTGGTACAGGTGAGTTTAGATTTAGTTTATTACACGTAAGTACTAGCCAGTACAGTAGTCATGGGAGTTGGAGATGCAGGAGTGTACTGTATACATGTACTATAGTCATAAGTTTGCAACTGAAACATACAGAATTTTGCACTGGTCCCCTAAGTTCACAGAAAAGATACAAGAGAAAGTACTAAAAATAAATAAGTGTGCATCTGAATAGATTTATCTTTATTGTTCAGATTTGCCCAGTTCAGCCATAGCTGGCTTCAGTGGTATCAGTTTTAGTAGTGGTTTCACTGAGCCAAAAAAAGAAGGTAAGCAGCCAGTTTTTAGTAAATATGCAAAAGAAAGTCACCAAAACTATTTCATTAGCAACAATGTTATTATTGCATGTGTCTTTGTATTTCGAAATGGTTTAAAATTTATTGAATGAGAGTGCAGTTAATGCAATTTTGTCAATACTCTGTAAATTTCTTTATTTGAAAGTTATTATTTCCATTTTCATGATGCATGTTTTTCAGATTTACCCCAGCTTTTGCAAACCTTCCATGATATGAGGGAAAAGCGTAATAGCGAAAGGAATTCTTTTTTTGTAAAAAAGAAGTTCAAAGTGGTGGACAAAGAAGTGAATGTAAGTACATGTACATAAAAATGTTTTAGGAAGGTTAAAATTGAAGATTGATCCACTAAACATTGCATGTTATATGTGAGGTTTTGATATAAAATGGCCTCTAAGCAGTCTTAGATTTCATATAATTCAAAAGATTAAAGGAAATATTTTGACATTAGATAAAGAAATTAATATAGTATGGTGTGATCTACCAGAAAAAAGACATCCATGCCTTGCATCAAACTCGAAAAAAAAACAAAAAACAAAAACAGTCTTAGAGAAAAGGTAACAGCTACAGCACCTGTATCCATTCTTTGTATTGATTAGTTTGTCTTATTCAAATCAACCTGTTCAGTTTCATTTAACTTTTCCCAGTGAGCTAGTGTACACTGATGGTTAGTGTTTTTGCCCTGTAGAGCAGGGGACACACTTTGTTTACTCACCTTTGACCCCCTCTGTGCTCTTGATGCCATTTAGGTTACTGAACCTAAATTGACTGTAATTCCCGCAAATGAATGTAGATAATTTCATAAAAACAAATTAAATAAATAAAAAATAAACCCCACTGTGTATGGACATAGTAAAAAGTGTTTATTGGGATCTAAATTTCTTGGATTGATATAAAGACTTTTTGACTTTGCAGTTAACTCAAGAGATTGTCTGAGAGAAAAAAAAACTGTCCATATGATCTACCTTAAATTGATTTGACTGAAACACAAAATCTAATACTTATTTTGTGTATCTATTTCCAGATTAGAGTTGGAATTCTTCAACCATCAGAAAAAGGTGGATTAAAACCCTTCCGGGGGAAATACCTGCAAGTCAAAGTCAAGCCAACCTATAATGCCGAACAAACCTTAGCAGCCAGCTTGGCTAAACACAGAGCCCACAATGGGCATGTTATGGAGCCTGGTGATTATACCCTTACGTACGAAAGTGGTATGGTAGTGGAGAACTTGCCAGAGGGAAATCCCCCTGCCAGCTTTACCATCAAGGGCTACAAAGAACAACTACAAAAGGACTACCAGAGACTGGTCCTTTTCATTTGTGCCACGGAACATCTAGGTATTATATATTTGGTTTCATTTAGTTATTATTATTATTATTATTATTATTATTATTATTACTTGCAAGTATATTAACTATAATATAATTAATTCATATATTCAGAAACAGAAGATTCAGATCAGAAGGAAGGAATAATAATCAGTGATGAAGAATCTGATTTAGAGGTAATGCACTCTACTGAATTTTTTACCCTAGCGTTCCTTTAATTGCATTGTCCATAACCCCCTAGTATATGAACATAACTTTATTTGTT